GTTCCATCCTGCCTGCAATATGCAAATTAGCCGCCATCTTTATAGTTAATTTGCATATCTTGCTGATTAGCCAATGAAAAGGGTATCGGTCGTACACCAATTACCATTTTTCTCTTGTATTAGTTTAGATAGCTTTCAAAACATTAGAGTCCCATTTTTGTAAAATTACACACAGACAATAACATACCTGAGTAAACATGGGGCACACACAAAAATGTTAGCAAAATGCTAGTTATCTCTAAGTAACTAAATTGCTTTTTAAAAAAACTTTTCTATGTTGTTTTAATGTCTTACTATGACCATGTATCTTATTTATAAGGCAATTTGCATTTTAAAAAGTCTACACTATTTAAAAATATCTAATACTTAATTTACTCTTAAGCTTATATAGTTTTTATATGACACTAGAGGTCCGGTGCACGCAATGCATGCATGGGTGGGGTCCCTAGGCCTGGCCGGTGATCAGGGCCAGGCCAATTGGGGCCCAAAGGCTCTGGCAGGGTCGGGAGAGGAGGCAACAGTCACCGGGCTGGGTGTAGAAGGAACAGATGCTAAATATCAACACTGCCATCATCAGAGCCCCACCATCGCATGGTTCCCCACCTGCCCCCTCCTCCTTCCCTTGCTACCGTGCCGCCACTGCAGAGGGTGGGCGGCGGGCTGATAGGGGCCTGCTGGCCTGGGGGAGGGACAGGGCACGGGAGGTCGGCCGCCAGCTGCAAGGAGGGAGCTGGCCCTTGGCCCCCTAGAAAAGAGGCCGCGTCCACTGCCACACACCCCTGGCTCCCCATCTAAGCCTGGGGCCCGGTCGGGGAAAGGGACCACGGGAGGTTGGCCAGATGGGGGAGGTTGGCTGTGGGAGCACACTGACCACCAGGAGGCAGCTCCTGCGTTGAGTGTCTGCCCCCTGGTGGTCAGTGTGCGTCATAGCGACCAGTCATTCGGTCATAAAGGTCGCTTAGGCTTTTATATATATAGATTAGTATCTCTTAGAACAAATTAAAGATTGTATACAGGAAATGTCCATTTTTAATAATATGGAAAACTATAATTTAAAGTCAACAGCTTACATTATAAATAACTTTCAACACAGAATCAAGAGCTGGAGGAGTTCTTTTGCCTAGAGCAAGAACATAGGGGCCAAACATAATGCACTTAACATAATAAAAAATCTTCAAATTACTATTTTAATTACTTAAAAATCAACCTGAAAAGACACAAAAGATTCAACATGAACTACACCAAAATAAAAACTGGAATTTCTTAGCTAAGAAATGTTGATATTCTATATTGCACATTCATCTTGAAGTTATAAATCATTTACTAAATATATCTATACAAATTCTTATTAACATCTTAAATTCAGTTACGTAACATCACAATAGAAACATCACTCAACTTCTCAATGCCTTTGTTATATATTCTGTAAAAGAAAGGATTGACTTCTAAAATTCCTTTAGATCTGAGATTTTAAGAGATACATAACAATTAAAATTTTTTTTCTCATGTAAACAGTTTCATGAGAAAACTAAATATCTGCCATTTTTAACACCATAACTTTAAACTTCAAACATGGCTTCACTTTCTTATGTTTAAGCTTTCGGGAAAGAAATTTACATACACAATCTTTACTAATAAATCATGCTAAGATGGATTAAAAAAAACATGTTTTTGTTTTTCCTCTGAAACAGAAAATTAATCTTAAGATATCCAGCCGTGGACAAACTACGGCCCGCGGGCCGGATCCGGCCCGTTTGAAATGAATAAAACTATTGAAAAAAAAGACCGTACCCTTTTATGTAATGATGTTTACTTTGAATTTATCTTAGTTCACACAAACACTCCATCCATGCTTTTGTTCCGGCCCTCCGGTCCAGTTTAAGAACCCATTTGTGGCCCTCGAGTCAAAAAGTTTGCCCACCCCTGTATTATACCATAGGTGCTTATAGCTATTTTTAAAAATGCCTTTAATACTTACAGCTTGATTAGGTAGATTGTCAGTCTTAAGTTCTCTGTGATTGGAATACTGAATAAAAATAGGCTGGCTTCGAAGGTGAGGAGTAACAGGAGTGTAATAATTCACCATAGTAATAGCAGCTTCCTCAGAAGCCATTTCTAAGAAAGCCTGCAAGAAACACAAGAAGGTAAAGTGAAAACTCGTGGTTTTTGAAAGACAGCTAAGAACTATTTTGTCATTCTAGGTTGCTCTAAACTCATGCATTGTCAACCTAAATAAAATTATATACATATGCCCTAACCGGTTTGGCTCAGTGGATAGAGCATCAGCCTGCGAACTGAAAGGTCCCAGGTTC